AGTACGCGTAAGCTATCCTCGACACTCACGAATTTTTWAAAAAAATCATATCTATAAAATAAAATTTGGTGGTTTAAATATATAAGTATGATGGTAAGTGCGCAGTAACCACTCTAGATAGAGAATAAAATTAACTACACTTTATAAAATGAAGTTTGTTTGTTTGGTTTTTTTTTTTTTTTTTGGAAGCACTATAAAATGAAGTTATTAGAATACCCGGGCTAAAATTATTTGTCCTATAATGTTTATATATATAATTGACAATAAGACCTTGAAGAATAATTATTTTTTTTAGGGTGAAGATTCAAATATACGACCTTTTAATTAGAAATAGATGTCTTGACGTTGAGCTATACTTAGGTTGACAATAATTATTCCTTGAAATTCCAATACTTTTATTAGGAGTGTAAGTTTTCGAACCAAACCGACGAACCGAATTGAACCGAGGCAGTTTGGTTCGATTCGGTTCGGTTAAAATAAATATCATGTTGGTTCCTGTTGGATTCTATAAAAACCGATTTCTTAATTATCAAACCTAACTCTACCTTTATAAACCTAATCCTTGTGGCTGCCGTTCTTCCCTCCCTCCCCCTGTCCCAAATCTGCCTCCCTCCCAAAATCTACCTCCCCGCCTCCCAAATGCGTTGGAGACAAAAAGGAGATCCGCAGCGGCGACGTTTTAATGAAGATCGTTTTTGGTGAAGAAGAAGATCTAAAGTATAAAATTCGAGGTGGGTTTTCTTGGATTTTCATGAAAGTTGATTTTGAAAAGAAGATTTGAAATGGGTTTTTGGAAGATAAGATGGAGATCTTAAGTTGATTTTTGTGGGTTTTCATGAAAGAAAGAACTATGGAAGAAAAAGATATGATTTTTGCAGGCTTTCATGGATAGAAGATCAGAAGAAGATTTGGGGTGGGTTTTTGTACTTTAATGGAAAGATTTGTAGAAGTGGGTTTCAAAATCAAAATCACTCATTTTGTAGTTACAAATGACAAATATGTTTTTTACACTAAATTTTAGTGAGTTGTGATCTTGGGTGAGATTTCATGGATGAAAAGAAACTCTAAAGAACCCAGGCTTCATAAACAAGGTGTGGAACTTTGATGGAAAAAAAAACGAAAATGACCCGATCCGACCCGACATCAACCCGAACTGAACTGACTTGAGATTGGGTTAGGTCGGTTTCCTCCGAAAACTGACCCGACCTGAATAATTTCCTCCCTATATATATATGCAAATATTTATTATATAAACTAAAAGTATATATAGGTAACTAAGACTAGTTCCCATATATTATACTTAACACGTGTTAAATAATTTTTTAAATTGAGGTTTAATATGAAAATATTTATTATATAAACTAAAAGTATATATAGGTAACTACGACTAGTTTACATATATTATACTAAACACGTGTTAAATAATTTTTTAAATTGAGGTTTATTTTTCAAATCTACCAAATACATATCCGAAAACACTTAAAAAGAGAGAAATTATTTGTTTTCAGATCCTCAACTAACCTGAGTAAGTTGAAAAATCTTATCACTGCAATCTGAGTTGCTTTTTGAATTCTCCTAAATTAATTTGTGACAAATCGTAGTCGCTTGAGCTTATTATTAATTAAAAAAGAAAACTATTTTATTTATCTATGGTATATATAAAAAGCCAGGATTCAGAGAAATTTTTTTGGTTGTTTTTGCCTCTCATTTTTTACCCTTTTCAATACGAATTTGATGATAATTTGGTCATTTTACGTGTAAGTAATTAAATTTGTTATAATTATATTTATAAAAAAGTAGCTATATTAACGGAGAAACTTTTGGTCGTTTTTGCCTTTGTTTTTGACCTTTTGAATATGAATTTGATGACAATTTGGTCGTTTTACATGTAGCTAATTAAATTTGTTATAATTATATTTATAAAAAAAGTAGTTATATTAAAGGATAAATAAATGAATAGTGGGTGGAAATAAATGCTAAGATTGCTTCATATTCCAACTTTTTATCCTTAAATTAATACCATTTTTTTATTAAGACTGATTAAAGGAAGATTGTGGACGTTTTAGATATTGAATGGTTAATAGAGAGAAATTAATACAAGGTTAAAACCGATTAATTTAACACTATTCTAATAAATTTATATTTTATCTCTCTATCTTTCCTCATCTAAAACATATATTTTATGAGTATAATTAACAAAATTATTAGATATTACTTTTCTTTGCACGAAAACTTCTTCTCATAATCGTTACCTCTTCCATTAGAAATACATATTATTTTTTCGTAGATCCTCTCATTTGGTATGAGTTTCAAATCTGACACAAAGTTCACGATCAAGCTGATTAGAGATAAAACTAAATTATATTTAACTTTTGGTTTTTTTTTATTTTACCCAAAAAAAAAGTTAGAAATTTTCAATAAGTAGTGATGATTTAGGTTGTGAGGAAGAATATGATAGCAAATACCAAAACATAAATATATATAAAATGGAAAGATTTAAAACATTTACCTCATTAGCCTCAGATTTGGTAGATTGAAACAATACTACAACTTTGAAAATGATGATCTAGGAAAACCGTGAACTCTCTAATGGTGAATAACTCATACCATGTTCTCTAAATCATTGTCTTTGGACTCTATATCCGGTGCAACCTCATAAAAAAAATCTAGAATGTTGTAGGTTAGAGTTTATAGGTGAAACGTGTATGGTATGGAAATTTTCCCTTCCTTGGTTACCACATATTTTATTAATGTGAGTCATTAGTTTTAATTAAATTTAAAATTATTAATTTTTTTTTAGAGATTTGACTTCTTTTTTTTTTGTGAAAACAATTTTAAAATATTGTTTAAACCACTCATTACGGTTACAAAATTAGTATTTCTTAATTATCCCATATGTTCGTTAAGAAAAAAACCTCATATTTTAATAATGTTAGTCATTAATGTTATAAAAATTTGACCTTTAATTACGGTAACAATATTAATTATAGGTTAAAATTTTGTTTTTTAAATTGAAAATATATAATAAATTAGTCCTATTGAGGTAACTATTCAAAGTAATAAATTAGTTCTGAAATATTTAAATGTTTCAAACAGAATAAAAAAGATAATATTTAAGTATAGTTACAATTGGTTGGGATCCATTTTTATATATGTAATTTCATTTAACCTAAATAAACTTAAAATAATAAATATTTGTCTGTTACGTTAAAATATTTTTTATTACCCTGCACTTAATTAATATAATGCGTAAAAGGGAGGTTTGACATTTTTAAAATGATTATGTATTTTTAAATTTTTGGGATGACAACCAAAATTTTTTATTTTATTTTACTTTTAGTATTTAGAATTTTGATTTTCTGATATGGCGACACAAATTTTATTTTTGAAATTTGACTTTTTATATATATGGTAACAATATTTAGTAATAAAAAAATTATTTCGTAAAAAATATTCCTTTTAAAAAWTTTCACATAAATTTAATATTTAGTTTAGTATGGTTGCTAAATTATCACACAACAATAATTTTTCAGGTTTTATTTTGTTATTTTTACCAATCATATAGACTATATTATAGTTGATTTTTTGTTTTTTTAATTGTTTTTATGTGGGTTCTCATATTTATGCCATGACGTTTTATTAAGGTCAACGAGGATACCGATTTCATTTGAACCTCATATTTGGAACTACCTTCCAACAACAAGTTGATGTTTAGTATAGGTAAATTGAACACATTATTAAACTTTCAATTTTTATATGTGCACTCACAATTTTTATGATTTATATTTTATATCGTGATATTATAGTCAGAAATAACAATACAACTATAATGTTTTATTTCCTTCACAAAGGCCACTATAATGTTCACTATCAAGAGAAATTTCGATGAAGACAACAAAAGTYTGGATCAAACGTTTTAAACCAATAGGCCATGATAATAATCTACTTTCGAATTATACGAAGAATATAGTTTATAAAGAAATTCTTTTTTGATATAGGTAAATCTTGCATTTTTATTCTCTTTGTACCTATTTATTTTTACATTTTTTAATGCACGTCTAAGTTATTCGTATCATTTTTTAAATTCGTACTCTCACAATTAACAAGGACATATGTATTTCACAAATATTATTATAAAATTAAAACTATACAATTATACGTGGAACGCACGTGTTTTTTACTAGTATGATAAAATTACCCATGGATATATAAATCTTAAATATATCATTCCTTAATATATATTCTTTCTACAATTTTACTAAAAATTTTCACTCTCTAATAGTCGGGTTCCATGACATAGTTCTCGACAATAAAAGCCGGTTTGCTAAGATTTTATTTGAGTAATTATTGGTGTTTCTTTTTTTTAAAAAAAAAAGAAAAACAAAAATACATTTGGTAGGCTTTGTTTCTTTGAAGTTAAAAAAATCAAAATATTACGTGAAAAATTAAAGTTGAGAAACGAGAAATAGAATATAAAAGTTTCTCAAGAACGGAGAAAACAAGTGCAGCAAAACACTTACGGCTTATTTGCTTGAAAACTCGGATTTTGTTTTTTTATTTTCAGATTGAATATGCGTTTGGCTTTTGGAGATTCGTTTTTGAAAATTTTTTTCGATTCTGAAAACAACGTTTTATATTTGCACTGTTTTCAGATTCAGAATTTGAAATTTTTAAGATGCAGAATTACATTTAAAATAATAAAAAATTTGATAATATATTACTTTATATTATAAACTCATTTTATGTTGGTTTAAATTAAAACATGTAAAATATAATGTATTCTAAGTTTTATAACCTTGTAAAATAATAATTATACAAAATTCATAAAAAATTGTTAATAAATTAATCAATATTAAGTTTAGATTAAACTAAATATTTAGCTGGTAAGTATTTCTAGTTTACAAATATATTGCTAAACACTTGAACAATTTTTTAAATTGATATCCAATTAACAAATCTGCTACCAAATATATATCTAAAAAAACTGAAAACATTTAAAAGAATACAACTCTGATTTTCCGATCTCTTTACTCTTTCTCGTCATAAATTTTCTACAAACTACACCATTTCAAGTAACCTAATCCAACTCAAATACTTAATCGTTAAGATTGAGTTGGATAAATTCAACATCCTACCAGAGTTATCTAAGTTCAATTAACTTACTATCCAAACAATCAAATAAGATTAAAAAAAAAACCCTAATCTCTACCATATATATATAATATTATATATATAACAAAATAAAAAATTATTTGTTGGGTGTTGAAGAAGAGATCCCAACGCCAAGAAAATCTATGAACGGAACAATATCCTTCGGGTCAGCCGATTCCTCGTCTCGTTTGATGTCCGCGTTCAAAATGATCGCCGATTTCTGTCTGAAGAAAACGCCCGCAGTTGTTGGTCCGTACGGAAACCGTCCGCCGCCGTGTATTTTGAAGTGTTGCCTGTGCTTTCTGGCGATTATTACGTGCCAGTGATTTTTGACGGCGTTATCGGTTCTTCCGGGCAAAAGCCTGGCGATTAAGGCCCATTTGTTGCCGTGGATCCGATGCGCCGCCATTAATCTCTCTTCTTCTTCTTCACTGAACGGCCTTCGGTTTATTCTTGGATCTAGTTGATTGAACCATCTCAATCTGCAACTCTTCCCTGCAAATTAAAACACGAAACACGAAACCAAACCGTTAAGGTTATGCATTTAAAAGATAAGGAATCTAATAACGGTTTATAATTAATAAATATAAATTACTATGAATATTAACCTATCCAAAATGTTCAAACGAACCTTCTGTATGAAAATGAGATGCAGCTAAGATTAATGAGCTAAAAGAATCACAATCGATGYATGTTAAGGATCCCGCATTAGAGTAGCATTAGAAATAAGGGATTAACGATTTATAATAAATATGAGCTACTCAAATGGAAGCTATGAATATTAATAGAAAACATCTCAGATTTCTTATCATTCAAAATCGATCTCGTGTGGCTTACGTCAGTGGATCCTATAACTGTAATTCATCAGAGAACTAAACAACTACAAGACTAGAACACAAAATATTATGCAAGGTTTCATATTCTTGCTAGTTCTCTATCCCCAAGCAACTTTCTGATTATTTGAAAACGTTTCTTGTGATAATTATTTATGTCTTCATTCTTTTCGTTCTCAAAATTATATACAAATTTTAGAAACAGTCAATTATACAAATTAGAAATCGAAAAAATTATTATTTCATGCTTTCTAACTAATTTAATACATGATAAATCTCGAAAAATAAATAAGTATAAACTAATAAATTTGAAGATTTTGTTTTTGAAACAATTACCCAACTCACTCCTCACATTAATATATGTTGTATATATAAATTCTAGATATAAAAATATGCACAACTCCTATGAAATAGAGAGAGAAAAAAAAAGAAAGGGAATAGGTAAAAAAAGGAAAAAACTAATAGATTAGATCCAAATCGATACGTAGAAGGAATTCTCTTTCTTTTTATTTAACCGAAAAAATTAGAAACATGAAATGAGAAATGATAAGCATGCCTGATCTTCCTTGGAGCTTCTCAGCGATGGAGTTCCAGTTTCGGGCACCAAACTGTTGAACGAGTCGTTGGAGTTTCTCGTCCTCGGCCGGCCGCCAATGACCCCGTGGGGACGACTTCCCGTCGTCCCCGGGAGTGGAAGCAGCGGCGTCCATGGCGGCAAACTTGGCGTGGAGAGAAGATTTATACAAATGGGGAAGATGAGAAAACAAGAAGATTAATTAAGTTAACAGAATGAGAAAAACGACTGAAGGGTTGGTTTGAAGTTGTGGATGGGAAGTCACTTTTGTTGGTTTCACACGACAATTTTTTTTTTTTTTTATCGGTTTGGTTTTTAATTTCCATGTTTTTAAAGGGATTAGGGAGGGGGCCATGGTGATATGTTTAAATCAAACCTATATAAGAAGTATTGGTTCGACTTGTAGTTTTAGTTAAAAACGACATCTCTCCTAGTAAACTTGTTTTCCCAAATTGCCCTTTTCTAAACTAGAAAAAAGAGTCTTGATTATGATTATTATCTATTATTCTTTCTTAATCTCATTGCATTTGGCTTATCTTTATCAGCTCTTTAAGATAATCTTCTACCAACGTGGCTTTCTTTTTACTTTTACCCAATGGGGTTTGAAATTAATTATATTTTTCTTCGAGTTATAAATTTGGTCAAAATTAATGGTAGTTGACTATTCGGTCTAATTTTTATTTTGGTTTATATACTTTTCTCTAATTTTGTTTTTAAATATTGTCCTGACCTACGAAAATTTAGAAGCTTCAGGCGAGTGGACAAAATATGTGCTTATATATGTTATGTTTGTACTATTGAGTAATTTACAGAGAAAATAATAATGACAATGATTTAAAATGATTTTTTAATACAAGTATTAGAAATTAAAGGATAATTATATGATTAGAAAGTTTAGAATAAAAATTGGAATAAGTATAGTTAAGGATGAATAAAACCACCCATCAACCTAAAAGGTTAAGCTGATGGATTGGATAAATTTAATTCTATCTCAAAATTTAGGGACCTATAAAACTTAAACCTAAATATTATTTTAATAAATGTTAAAGAGGTTGTTTGGTGGTTATTTAGAAAAATAGTAATAGTTTTTGTTTCAAAGAATTTCTAAAGAATAATAATTAATTTTGTTGATTAAATTGTAGAAATAATGGTTATCGTACGTACAGGATTATTATTATAATATAAAAAAAACGATACGCATCAATTCATTCAAAAGGTGGGTGAGAAACATACAACAAGAGGAGGCTAAATAAAAGCGCTCCAATTTAGAGAAATGATAAAAATATAGTAATTATAAAAGAAGATCGATTTTGTGGACCAATAGGAAGCAGTCATTTTGATATCACTCCACAGATAAATAAAAAATCTAGAAGTGTCTGTGAAAAGATGGTTGTGTCTCTCCAATCAAATAAATCAAATGATCGAGAAACCATTGCACCAAAGCACACATTTCTGCACTTTCCAATATGAATATTTCATATTCTAATTTTATGTATAGGATTATTATTCATAATTTTATAGGTTTTAAAGGAAAATTATTTAGCTCGTGTCGACACTATAAATCTCTCACAAAGGTCGTAGGTTGTTTGAATTAAAGGAAAAAAAAATATATATATATATATATATATATCCATAAACACGTTTACACTAAATTTTTGTTCTAGAATAGGAAATTTTATTTAAAAAAAATTACTCTAAACAACTTTTAAATCATGGAATGATGAATGATAAGGGTCCGTTTGGTAATTTTTCGTGTCTTTGTTTCTGATTTTTCATTTTTAATAAATAAAAACAGAATTGTATGTCTTCAACACCATGAATTCAAAAAGTATCAAACAATATTTATACATATTTTGTAACAAATTGGAAATGGAAACCAGAAAAGAAAAAAAAACTGGTTTTTGTTTGTTTCCAAAACTTTTAATACAATTTTGATAATGTTTCCAAAAGATTAGAAACAATAAACAAAATTAGCTGCAGAATGCTTAAATTTCTTAATAAAATTTGAAAATTAGAAACAAAGTAACAAGAACGTTGTCAAAGGGTCGTAAGAAATTAAATTGCCTTCCAATTTTTTTTAAGAGAAAATTGGGTTCAACTATCTTGAAGGTCATAAATTAGGTATTTGTGTTAAATTGTTATGATGGAAAACAGAGAAATTTTACATCCAAATTCTTGAAACCCCATTGTCTCTGTATTGATCTTCTTCAAAATTGGTTATTAATCACTAAAATTTTAGTCCAACCACATGAAAATTTGTGGCTTGTTTGAAAATTCCATTTCTTCTGTTTTTCAACAACAAATTTGGTTATAACAATTTTTTAATCTAATTTTAGAAATATGTTTAGAAGTATATACCTTGATTCCAAAAGGAGGAAATGCACCTTTGAAAAGTAATTTTAAAATTGAACTAGGCCATTGAAAGATAAAATAATTAAAAATAAGAAAAGAATAAATCGTTAATCAAACGTAACTTTGACTTAAAAAATAAAATAAATATACTTAAAAGTCCATTAGGATTTTGTTTCCAATTTTTTATTTTTAAAAATCATATTTGTTTACTAACTCTATAGATTATTTAGGTGTCGTTGGATAATAATTTCATTTAGTTTCCTTTTTAAAAAGTAGAATGTCTTATCTTTCTTTTAATTTCTTTAGTATACTTTTCACCATTCTAACAAATATGTGAACTCGTGAACTCTTAATTAAATTTTAATTTTTAAAAACTATTTTTCTAGTTTTAAAAATTTGTATGGAATTTTGAAACGTTTTTAAACAAAAAAGAAGAAAATACATGAGTGGAAGTAGAGTCAACCTTTGATGATTTGAGTAATCCTTCGTAAAAATTATGTTTATTTGAAATGTATTATTCTTAAAAAAAAATTATAATTGATATGATGTATTATCAAATACCTAAATGAATTTGTAATGCTCATATTTAATATAGTACAATATTTACACTTTTTAAAACTTCAAAAGAGACCAGAATAGACACAACGTTGTGAATATATAACTTCTCATAAAAAAAAAACGTTGCGAATATATACAGTTTAATAGATTGAAATAATTTAATGTAGCTACCACATTCTCTATCTTTTTTTTCTTCAAATTATATCCCATACATCTAACGTAACAACGTAAAATTATCGACCACATTATTCCAACCCATTGCGGATAATTTTCTCGATTTTACGAGATATTATTAAAAGAAAAAAGAGAGATTTTTGTTTGTTCGGCTCTAATAATCATAACTGACGTGCAACTAAAGCATCTTAGTTTGTAGATGAGATGGGAAGTCAAGGGTAGAATATAAGATTTTATTTTCTATTTTTTATTTTTTGGATAATAATAAAAGAATAATAAATGATTTCTTAACTAATTAATATTTGATACCCCACGAAATCAAACTCTTACTTGTTCTTCTAATTTTTCTCAGCTTATTATTGATGATAATGGCGTAAAATGGTTTACCTATTTACATCACATTTTAATTAGTTGACTATCTCTACCTGACCTAATTATAAATATAATATTATGAAATATAATTGCATTACCGTTTATAATTAAATTAGTTCGGTATTCAATCAGTATCTACTCCTAATTGGTGTATCTCTCTTAATCTTAACGCCAAGTATTAAATTTCTATTGACACGTTGATATAGACGTAAGGGATGCATTGCTATAATCTTTATTATATTGTAAAAATATCGACCAAATATTAGAAAAGATCGACAAAATATCATTACTAAACACATAATATTAATAACAAAATTTTTAAACTTATTTAAAAGAGATGAGATGCTTGTTATTTAATTTCAATAATTTTTCATGAATTTTTTAGTTTTATAATTTTTTTTAAAACTATATCTATTTGACAATTTGACATTAACATTTTTGTCTATATTTCCATCAATACATTTAAAACTTTTGACTGTGAAATTCTAACACTTTGCATTATTGATAGCCATTTTTCCATTCATTTTTCATAATTAATTGGGTATTATATTCATATCATCTACTCCTAATTGGTGGATCTCTTAATCTCACTCACCCTTTTATTCATTACTTCTTTTTTTGAGTTAAAATTTAGTTGTTAAGTTTCTAATTAATTTGGTTTATAAAGTATAAAAGGTTCCAATTTTTACTTAAAAAAAAAGTTCCAATTCTTTTCCTCAAGTTTTAGTAAGTTCCAAATTAAATTCTAGTGTATTAAAATCACGTTCAGTAGGCATTTCCTTCATTTTTCATCATTAATTAATTGGGTATTAAATCAATTTCTACTCCTAATTAGCGGACCTATATATGATTAAATTTATGAATTAATCCGTGATTTAATCATATTTAAAAGACTTCTTTTAATTTGTTTTTTATTTAAAATAAAAAAGACTTGTCTTAATCCCACAAGCCTAAACCTGTTACTTCTTTTTTTTTTCCTCTCTTTTGGGGATAAAAAATAAGTTTTTAGTCTCAAAAATTTCATTTTTCATTGGTCAAGCTTTCGAAAGTTCCAAATTCAATTCTTAACGTAAAAATCAAAGCTTTGGTAGGAATTTTGTTAATTTTTCATTATCAATTGGGTATTAAAATCAGTATTGACTGCCTAATTAATTGGTGGTTATCTCCTTAATCTCACGATCCCTTTTTGTTGTTTTACCTCTTTTTTTTTAGTTAAAATTGATTTTTTGTCTCTAAANTCCCAAGTTTTAATAAATTTCAATAGTTCTTACTAGTAGAATCTAAGTTTAAAACTTAATGAAAAAACGACATATAATATGTTTTATTGTTTATTAAAATTAATGACTTACAGCATAAAAATGACATATAACATAAAAACAACGTTATATACCTATTAAAGCAGGTTCGCCTACTGAACATAACTCAATTGTTTAAGACATATTATCGATCTAAAAGATCGGAGTTCGAATATACAAGAAACTTAAATATTTAAATTTAAATTTATAAACTTTTCTAACCTATACAAGAAATTCAGTTAATCTTTTGGGACGAACTCAAATTCAAAATGTTTCAAGATGTCAACAAGAAAATGTTATGGGTTTTCAATGCTCGTCGAGTGCATTTTGAAAGTCTTTCTTTTTCTTAACGAAGGAAAAGTTTTATTGCATCAAAGAATTAAATTGAATTTGGGGTGGCAATTGGCAAAGGAAGAAACTTCCCTTTTAAACCCTTGAGACCTCTTTCTTCTACTTTGGCCCATGCATTGTTTGATTAGGTTTATCACTATTTTTTATAGTACAATATGTTGGGGAAGAGATT